CACCCCAATGGACCTTGTGGAAATAAATGGATTAGTCCATCAAATTGCTCATCAAAATTTAGCTGTGTATACCAAATTTCATTCATTTATCACAACGCGATTGAGAGATATTGCAAAAAAATGATTTCCATTCCTCCCTCTTCAATGGGTCCCTGTGCCCTTAGGAAGCATTTCCCGACCCATATTCATATGAACTTTTTTACTTAGTTTTGATCATAGAATCGGCCTATTAAGGGTTGGCAGCTAATTATGAGACACCCTGTATAAACTGCACTAGAACTTACCAACAACTAAACTTAGAACTTACCAGTGCGAACAGCACTTACAGAAAAAGCAGTAACTTAAAATTTAGTTACCACTTACCTACTGTCCCCGTGTAAACAAGCCTTAAGAACTGGGTACCTGACCAAGGGATGGGTAAACCCTTCCCGGCTTAGTAGGTAGGGAAATTGTAGAACATTTATTTTATTGTAAATAGTCTGTAAGCAGATCTCAGTCATTAAACATATTTTCAAGCATCAACATCGATTCGTTTCAACGCATCTTAAGTTCAACATCTCATATTCATCAATCAGTACATTATTCGAGCATACGACCTAACGTCAATCACAATTTACGAATAAAAAGAAATTGCAAATGATGAAAACACAGAAATTGCAACCTCAATCAAAATTTTTTGAATTTTTTCTCAAATCTTTTTATTTTCTTTATTTATTACATTGCTCTCGATTTATTTTTCGTTAACATTTCTTAAATACGTGGAATTTTGCCTCAGTTATTCCCTCTCTTAGTTTTTCCTTGAGCGGAAGTCTGGTATTTTACAAAGAGCAAATTAATGCACATTTTCTTTGCTTATTGAATTTATTTTAAATAATAAAATCGCTAGGACAAATTTTATCAAATTAGATAATGGAAAAAAATTATAAGTTGGTTTTGGTAACTGAAAATAAATTCAAATTGCACGTGAATAGAGTTTTTGAAACTCGACTTTTCAAAAAACAACGGATTAATTAAAACAGACAATAAATATTTTTTACAATGGTGTTTCTATTTGAAACAAGTCACGCTGTAAACATGTTTTTTTTTTTGTAAATAAGTGCGAAATATTTTAGGGGATGGTTGCCGAGCGAAGTTATTTTGTGAAAAAAGTTCATATCAACATAGGTCGAAATATACTTCATTCCCGAGATACAGTTTAAATTTAAATTTTTTATTTATTTTTATTAATTATTTCAAAAAGTTTTAAAGATATTGAGTCGAAATTTGATGTATTTTATTTAGAAATATTGACAGGAACCTACTAGATAACGTATCAATAGAAATAAAAAATAGTGCATAGCTTGCAATAAAATATGTTTAATTTTTTTCCTCAAAAACGGTGCATTCTACGAAAAAATTGAAGCGACCGATTTCATTCAGAATTGATAGCGGATTTCTAAAAAAATATGAAAACCGGGAAAAATCAGTGGAGTACAATTTTTTTTATTAAAAAAGGTCTCGCACGAACGCCACTGGTGCAAGCAAAAATATTCGGATCTCCCCAAAAAAATGCATATTTATTCCTCTAAAGCGTTTTTCAAATTTCGACCTTTAAAATTCTTTGAAATAATTAATAAAAATAAATAAAAAATTAAAATTTAAACAGTGTAGGTATCTCTGAAACAAAGCATACTTCGACCTACGTTTTATGTGAACTTTTATTCACGAAATAACTTCGGCAGCAACCTCCTAAAATATTTAGCACTTATTTACAAACACCTTGTATAGAGTTACTTTGGTATTTGCAATGAAATAATTTTATCAGAATTCTCAAAATTTCAGGTAAAAGCATCGGGAAGAACTGATTTAGAGTGTTTTTTTGACATCTTTTTCATGCATTTGGTTTTGAATAATGTTAATCAAAAAAAATGTACTGATGCAAACTTAAATTAAAAAGTAATAAAAATAGCACCTTAATATGTTTCCAAAGCACCTCCACTAGAAAAAGTATAGCATGAGTTTTCTTGCTTTGCTATCTATGAAGAAGCACGTTTCTATGAGAAAAGTTTATTGTTTTGTAAAACTTTTTTTAAGTTGGAGTAAAATTTTATTACCATAAAACATACGTTTTGATCCAAGGTCCGACACTAAATCGTACATTCCAGGTTCGTACTAGAGTAATGGGCGCGAACGAGCGTATTTGACATTTTATCGACATTAGTGTTGTGAGATGTTTGGACACGCTTTTGATCTTACTCAGCATAAGAATATTATATAAAAATCCATGTCAAATTGTTTTAAACATCTGGAATTTATGCTATATTACAAAGTTTAATGACCGCCAAAAAAAAATTTTCAGTAGATCAAAGACGTATTTCGATTTATCAGCAGATGTTTAATGCTAGTTCTGACTGAAATATAAAAATAGTTCTAAATTCGATGTTTCTTTACTTATCAAGGATACATTACAAAAGGTTGATGGGCATATTCATCAGATATTATTTGAACAAAGGCATTAGAAAAAATAGCTGAATTAATCACAATTAAAAGCCTTTTTTCTCGAAAACCGTCCACATTAGGAAGTTCTAACAAGAGTACATTAATTTTAGAAAATAAAATTGTACAGTAGAAATTGGAGTCTGAATGGTAAAAAACGTAACCTTAAAAAAATTTAAACTTAAAATGTAATAGGAATATAGCATAACTAGCGCCCGGTCCAGCGTATTTGGTATTCTTAAAACCCCGGAATACCAAATTTCATAAGAATATTTCACGCCGTTTAGAAATTTTCGTAAAAATTCTATTTAAAAAATTTTATTTTGTCGCTCTGTATCTCGAAAACAAGAGGAGATAGACATATAGTCCATAAGACAAGAAATTCTTATTTTTTAACGTACAACCCCCCCCCTGTATTTACGGGAGGTCTTTCTAAAACACCCTGTATATAAAATATTTGCAATTAGCATAAATAATATATGTATATTTTTTTAATTTTTTTTTGTAGGTATTCAGCTAAATTTTGCTTTAGAGCTTGAGCTTACTG